GGAAAGCAGAGAGCACAGGGACACACAGACGGAAAGCAGAGAGCACAGGGACACACAGACGGAAAGCAGAGAGCACAGGGACACACAGAAGGAAAGCAGAGAGCACAGGGACACACAGACGGAAAGCAGAGAGCACAAGAAAACACACACACACACACACACACACATAGGGAAAACAGAGTTCACAGGAACACACAGTGAAAGCGGACAGCACATGAATACACACACAGGGAAAGCAGAGAGCACAGGGACACACAGACGGAAAGCAGATAGCACAGGGACAAACAGACGGAAAGCAGAAAGCACAGGGACACACAGATATATACACAAACACAAAAATGCAGTCTCTATTTTCATTAAACCTCAGAGTCAGCCAGAATGGTGACCCTTATCTTTATGAGGAACAGAAATAGGAAGACAGAACTAGTGTGCAGAACCACAAGTTAACCGCAGTAAGAGGAACTGGGCACCAGGGGGCCAGCCCCTGACCACGCCTGTGACATTGCTGACAGGACGCTTTTTCTAGTGTCCCCTGAAACAGGCACAGTGCTTACTGAGCTCGAGCCGGTGAGGACCCCCTTCCATTTTCGTGGACAGTGTCTCCGTTCTGCGAGTCCTGCTGCACTTCTGCCAGGACAGAGAGAGAGAGAGAGACAGAGAGAGAGAGAGAGAGAGAGAGAGAGAGAGAGAGAGAGAGAGAGATGCAGTCACGGGATGCAGTGCACTGCAGTAGAAAGGCAAAACACCATAACTGCATATTTTATCAAAATTGAGTCATACCCGAAATCGGGTCTCTTTAGGCACTGTTTCATCTCACGACAAGATATCTTACTTACTTCATAAATGCACATTAATTCGTTACACTACCATTTATCTACCTACACAGGTGGACAGTCAAAAAACTTTAAAGTCTCAGTGTGAGCGCAGCTACTGCATTTTGCCTGTGTAAGGCAGTACCTGTACACCGTGAGGGATGGCATCGCTGCAAAGCACCCTGAAGCATTCTGGGAAAAGCCCGCCTGTGAAAATTTCCTGACAGGCATATTCACTGTGATGTTTACACACTCGGCACCCACAATCTGGACACCGAGAGCGATGCGGAAAGCTGACAGACGCGCGGTCGCGTTGGCGACGGCTCGTCTCTGTTCCTATGCGTGCGGCGAGTTTGCTCCGCTTCCCGAGTATATGGGTACGGGCGAGCATTTGATGAGATAACCACTAACGATCGATAGATACGCCTCAGCCGACGGATTCAGGGGTCCTACTTACCTGAATAAAGAGATGAGGAACAGCATGAGGAGGTGGTGAGGTTTAACGTCAGCCTGAAGTGGAATCACGATTGGGGGGGTGTACTTACTGGTGGCAGAGGCAGAAGGTGACGTCCCCGTCCCATTAGACAGGGATCCCGGCTCCAGGAAGAGGCCGTCCAGGAAGACAGTGAGCTCCCCAGTGGGCACCAGCACACCGCACTTGTTCTCCAGGTACAGCTTCATGACCTCCTTCACATTCTCCACTGCAGGAGGATAGTGAGGAAGAAGCGTGTCACCGGGGATGTTTGTCGACCCCAGCGCGGGTCCCGCTACTGTTCCTGGAGCGTAATTCACCCAAATCGAAAAGCCGCAGGCCTGTCTGCACTGAAGCTCAGCTTTGAAAAGCGAACAGCGAGCCGAATGTGAGAAGCATTCTCTGCTCAGCTACTCGGCCATGACATCCCGCGTTGCTCCTGTATAACGTTCTCCACCTCCTCTTGCTCAAGCCTTGAGATCACCTGACTCCCACCTCAAGATGGCTAGCAGATACCCAATAAGCTATCCAGTGACTGGATTCCACAAATCAGGGCAACGTAAGGTGCTGGATTCCACCAATCAGTGCAGCTTAAAGTGCTGGATTCGATCAGCGGGTGGGCCTGGCGGTGCTCGACGTACACTTCCTGTGATGCTGCTCCAGGACCAGGTGGACGTTCAGCGTGGCCTTCCCCAGCAGGGCGTCGGCTTTCAGGGTGTGGTGGCTCCACACTTTGAAGTCCAGCTGGGAGTGAGGAGATACATTCCTGCAAAAAGGGGGAGAGGCACCAAACTAGAGTAGATGTGAAATTAATCTAGATGGGGATATAAACTGATAACCCTTCGATTCAAGGAAGGCTGGAAAGCGAGTTCAAAGCCCCCGGTGTGCCGATTCACAAAACAGGTTCAATACGCAGGAACCCCGAGTCTTACTGAAGGACCAAAACTGCTTTGAATGGAATCATTAAGCGGTTAAACTTGCGGTCATGCTTGCACACTAACAGGAAAGCATCTCGCCATGCCAGCTGAGCCCAGCGGGTATGTGCTGGAAGGTTCTGCTACGTCCCCGTTCACACCCCCCCCCCCCCCCCCCCCCCCACAGGAGCCCCAGACTCGTGCATGGGTACCACAAGACAAGACTCCACCAACCCCCCCAGGCATTCTGCAGACACATAGCTAAGATGGGGCACGAGAAGGGGGAGATGATTCCCACTTCTGGAATATTCCATACAGCAAGTAATCGCCCACCAACTCATTCTATGGACAAGAGGACTAAAGCATGAATGCACATACAGCCGTCTCAGCGGGGGGGGGGGGGGGGGATGAGGTGGCTTCTGTCTGCGGCTTCAGGGTGATCTGTCACTTGGTCCCGCTGGTGACCCTGCAAGCAGCATGGCCAGCTGTCACACTGTCCCTACAACTCCCAGTGGCTCTCTCTGGGCAGAGGGTAAACAAGGACGTGGGGGGGGGGGGGGGGGGGGGGCTGCACTCCTGTGTTTCTCACAGCCAGGCTGGGACTGTGGGGTTGAGACAGGGGGGGGGGGGATCTCAGACGGACGGAGTTGGATTACACGGCCATACGGAAAGACGTGAGCGCCGCCCTGTCTTGAGACAGTCCCGTCTGCCGCGGGCTTCTCCGTCAGCGAGGTGCGAGTCCTCATCGATCCGCAGCTCTCGCCCGCTATCCCGCCGGCGTGCCGCAGTGTCGCCGCGTTAATATTCCACACACAGGGACTCTGGGTCCGGCGTGTGATGCTGCTCACCCCCTGCGCCACCTCGCCCCTGCTAGAGTGCGCGCTCACGCTGAGAAAGCCAGCTGCCACCTCAAGGACACTCTGCTTTTCATTTGGGGTGGGGGGATGGTGTCTAGGGACGGGGGGCGGCATGGGCACCCTGCAGCCAGACTAGGTGCTAAGTATACATTTACACTTAAATACTACAGAGTGATTAGTGTACCCCCCCCCAGGACCAGCTCGGGGGGGGGGGAAACTGCCTGGCAATTTCCCCACTATGTCCTCCGAGACGCCAAGGGGATTTGAGGAGCAGCGGTAAGGCGAGCTCCGCGACACTAAAGGGCCATGGCAGGATCGCTTAGAGAGCCTGCCGGGACACGATATCCATTATTAATCATTCTGCGTGAATCTGCTTGCCATCCATTTTGCACAAGCTTGGCCAACCAGACACTTTTCCTGGGTTTAATTTACTCTACCCCCTCATTATTTGATCGATACCTGTTAAGCTACAGACAAGCGATCAAAGCCAACGGACAGAGAAGCAGCGAGGAGCCGAAACTAAAATAGTCGGGTCCGGGAAGGCCTCCGCACTATATTGAGGCTAAAAGTTCCATTTCAAAGGGTGTATGGTTGGCCGAGGCGCTGCTGAGAAAGGTGGTGTCCTCTTACAGCGTCAACCGCTCGTCCCACTTGGGGTTGGAAGAACTGTGTGACTTGGCCGTCCGCCGCACCTCCCCGTCGGCCACCAGCTCCACGTACACGGCCGTCCCGAACCAGTTCTTCTTCCTCTTAAGCTTGGCACAGGACACTGACAGGGGGGCACAGGGACACACTGGTCAGGATGGAGCCCATCTGGGCCTTGAAACCCGGTATCCAGTCCATTAAAGCTGAGTCACCTCCTGACCATACATATTAACCAACTCATGGAAGCTACCAGATGAACTCAGACCTATGATGCGTCCCAAATCGCATACTTGCACAGCGTGTACTGAATTTTGTTAGAAGCCTACTACTCGACTGTTAATGCAGTATGTACTATAAGTATGCACAACAACAGTATGCGTGCACTCAAGACACACTGCAGTTGCCATCTTGCATATTACCTGACCAACGAAATACATATATCCGAGTCAACTTACGTAACTAGGCATTGTTTTCTACTTAAATTTGTATAGAGACAGCATTTCCTCCTCCACCTTGACAAAAATTTCTGAGCGAGCGACGTTCATCTCTGGTTGCAGCTCCAGCAGCCTTGTGGGATAGTGTAGCGTCCATCAATTTCACACTTCGGAATTTCCCAGAACGTAATATGTCGTCTGGGTATCGTTCTCTTATAGTCTCATCCATACTGAGGATTCAGACACTCTGCTCACCTCACATACTATATTTCACCTACTACATAGCAAAGTAGTATGCGATTTCCGACACAGCCCTAGAAAGGGCTCTCCAGTGAGGTGCTGTGGTGCTGAGCGTCTAAACTCACCAACAGCCTGAAGCTGGGACCTGCCTCCATGGCTGCCGTCGCTGTTGTCACGCACGGAGGCTGTGGCCATGTCAGGCTGCTGTTACGGCCTGTGACAGACACACAAGCAGATGCAGGGAGCCGTGGAATGAGGTTCCCCAGCAGCGACCAGGAACTGAGGTCACCTGAGGACAATCTGCTGTTTCATCATGCTATCGACATTCGCCGGGGCGGCCCTGGAATTTATTCTGCGCCGCGTTTGTAACTAAGCTGTCAAAGCAGATCCTGGAATGAACAGGGGCCCCACAATGCCGACAAGACAAGATTCAGGGTCTCAGGCCAAGATGTGCACGGTAAACACCCTCACAAGCGAGTGCATGTTTAGAGCGTGCTGTACTTACAGTTGTGCGTTCACAAAGCCCTGGAGACTCTCAGCCCACACTGTGGCCCATATCTCTCCTGAAACACAAAACAGGAAGTTGAGAAGTTAAAAATTAAAAAAAAAAACAGACCGCAAACAGGAAAGGGGCACCATACATGTCCTCGCACAGAATAACATCAACCCGATCACGATCCTCACAACTCAGTTGTGTCAAGAAGGCGCCGAAATCTGGCCGGTGTTTTGGGGGCTTTTGGTGAGACACCTTGATGTGAGGAGAGCATGGGGGTTAGCTGGGGGGATCAACAGACAGGCAACTTGGTCTCCACGATATAGAAGAGATCAGAACGGAGGCTGAGATTTGCAGATCGCAGGCTCATCGGTTACGCTGCTGCAGTACGGTCACAGCCACAAGCCGTACGGAGAAGAAAACAGCCCCAAAAGCCGTCGACGCTATAGAATATTAATCCTGCTGCTGACGCTCATGTTCAAGAGGCAACATAAGGTCAAAGACGGAACAACCCATTCCTGTGACAGCATAGGACGTGAAATGACAGGCATCCCTGGCACAAAATTCGGTGGTATAATTAACCGGAACCACCCAGCGCTGGCACAAACACGTCCAGGAGGATGCGTGCCGAAATGCAGCGGGCGGTTCCAGCTGCGGAGAGAGACCCGAAAGCTAGGAGAAGATCACCGTGTCTGCAGTGATATCTCGGTCCAGCGCGCCGATGCTCTGCGTGCCTAAGTGATGTGAAGCCCCAGGGAAGCAGCACGCACCCGGTTTCATTTCCCCGTGTCTCCCGGCCGAGGTTTTTGGGCCAGAGGCTTAGCGACAGCTCGTGTGGGTATCTGCAGTGCGCCACATGATGCTTGCCTGGCAGGCAGGTGCGATACTCCCATCGGGCCGTTCAGCTAATGAACAGAAGCTGGGACCTGGAGGGCGTGGGTGGCGGGCGGCTCTTCTGAATAAACCTGCAGCCCCGCCGTCGATTCACGCACCGCGCGACCTGACCATCACTGGTCACGGAAACGATAACCTGGGCCCACGCGGCACTCCATCACCCCCGCGGGCCTCCGGGCTCCATGCAGCAGCAGCTCCTCCTATCAGACGTGAATAATTAAAGAACGCCAAAGGGCACCTTCGGCGGGGTCCCGCCCACCTGGTCGCACCAGGCGTAGGCGAGCATCTGAGCACGTTGCAGGGGGGTGGAGTCAGGCGTGGGGCACGCCAGCCGCATGCAGATGTGTCGTGGGGTTAAGGCTCAAATGAGTGTCAGAAAGGCTGCGGGGAGGCCACCTCTCCTGGATGAATGGATATTAAAGACGGTGGAATGGAGGATCGGTGGACTGGAGCACAAGCACTGCGTAAAACGAGTATGAGGAAGGTCACCAAATACAGTACACCTCTGCGATCAGGAGTACCAATACCAAGACCACTAGCAATGACATCACATCCTCATACTCATACTCACGACATGCACCAATTACAGAGATCCAATGCAATCCGACAACATGTCACAAACGTCGGCTGCAAATACAGGTAAATACGGGGGCCAGAGCTGCAAACAAACATAGCTACAAACATGGATGAAAACAAACCGCTCACGATTCACCTTCCATGTCAAAGACCATCCGTGCAGAACAGTCATCAGCACCTGGCACAACTTCATGCAACCAGCTTTAAAAAGAAAGCACGCTAAATATTACATTTCACGTTTCAAGTTAATTCTCAAACAAAGGCAACATTATTACTCTCGTAACTGCAGACATTCCCGGCCAAACCCGGCAGCACTCAGGCACTAACGAAGAGTTATCCTGGTGAACGGGATTCATTTTACAGGTAAGGGAATATCTCTGACGACGTACTGCATCGCTGTTTACCGAACCTCCCAGTGCTACCCTGCACGACACCAGCCGGACCCAACCCTCTTCGGCACGCCCAGGGCATCCTGTCCTCTTCCAGGACCAAAGTGAGTAGACGTTACCTCGTCCCGTGTCCCAGTCACCTGTACCGCCCTGTCGCTAACGGCGACCAATCAACTGACCACCAAGTCTATCACCTGATCTGACATCACGCCAGGGAACATCCCAGTTCATACTGCCTCTGTCTAATGGCACCTGACAGGCCCAAGGGAGGGGAACAGGACACCTGCTATTGCACTCAAACCTCGACAGGGAGCCGAGACGGCACCCCCCATCATGGAGCACCATCAGGCCCCACGGCATGGCACACGTCCCATCACGGATTGTCTGTCTCCTTGGACTCTTCAGCGATGCCCTAGGTGAATATGCCTCCAGAAGAATCCTCAACACCACAGGTTGGGGTACTTAAACGGTGGTGCTGGGGGGGGGGTTGCCCTGGAGCAAGAGCAGTGGCACACGAAGCGCGCTGCCAAACGCGGGCCGTCACCCGACCCGACACGTCACACACCATCGCACACACACCCCGAGACTCCCAAAGCCGCCAGACCACCACAACATATCCCATTACCGCGTTACGTGAGCCGCTAATCGTCCGCTCCTCCAAAACTATGTCGACACAAACTCCTGCTGTCACTACATTGTGGAAGGAAAAAAGTAGTACAGATTGAAAAAAATGTGCTAATTAAACAGCCCCCACCATTGCTGCAGTAATGCCATCCCTCCTCCGTGATCTGCAGCATCCCTCTCTCTTTTAGTCAGATCCCGACCACAGGGTTACGGAGAGAAGGTCCCACGTGGAGCGCCACCTCGGATCAGTGCCGACGTTTATGGTGACCTTGGACCGCACTCATTCAGAACTCCCACCGGGCCTCGCGACTCCAGATTACAAAGCACGCCGCAGGAGAAGCCAAACATCTCAGCCTCAGTGCCAAGGCGCTCAGGCGCATCTTCCCAGCATTCATACCTTATCGGCCATGCACCGTTGTCATGGAGACAGATTTCCACCAGTCAGGACCACCGCCCCCCCAAAACAAGTCATTGCTATTCACCTACCTCATAAGACATGGTCAATACACTTAATGACAGAGTAAAAGCTCTTAAATTTGGCATTTATCCAACTGACACGTTCAAATAACCGACACAAAATCCAAAGTAGAAGTACATAATAATAAAGAACACTATTCTGTTAAACATTTACAAAAACAACACAATTAATACAGAAAAGCATTACACAAGTTATACGTATGCCTACTTCAGTCTTTCCGTCTGTCCCGTCGCTGTTTACCTCACGATCTCTTGCACTGTATCGAATATCCATAAGACTCGGATAACGGCAGTGACATTGCAGTGCGTTAAAATAACAATACAACACTCCTTAGTCTGTATGTATAATAGGATTAAAGTGTATGACTGTGTTACAACAGTGTTTTTCAAGAGTAACATTAAAAAAAAGAATGCAACTATGCGGCAGCTTCCGACTGGCACCGGCTGGGGTACCCGGGTCAACTGCAGGTCAGTGTCTTCATGCCACGCTGGTGACATGGAGGACAGCCTTCCCCATGGGCAGCCGTGCTGAGCAATGCCACCTGGCACGATGTCACCCCCTGACTGTTATGGCCCCACCCTCCTCGCCGGTATGACGCCCCAAGGTAAAAACAGACAGTAGGAGGACAAGCAGAATGATGAGGCCATCAACATACCGATACGGGTTTTACAGGAATTCAGAGTATCCCTGCTATACTCGATTGGTACTCATTTAGCCGCTGCATCAAATACCGAAACACAGACACACTCAGGCAGGCTTCACCTGCACTTGCATTACAGTAACTGCAACACACGCTGCATCCATCCAACCAACCATTCATGTTACAAAAACGCTTATCTGATGCAAGGTTGCTGTGAGTCAGCATGGAGAAAACAAGCTACTGGGGTGGAGGTTGAACCCCCCCTCCCCCCCCCCATTCCTGGAAGTCCAAGGCCGCAGTGGTACCCAGCTGACACCCCAGTACATCACCCCATGAAACAGTACTACCAAAGTTTTATAGTGCAAAGGTGAAGATGGAGACGAAGGATGAAGAAGCCGATAAGAACTTCAGGCTGCACTGCCGCCCCACCCCCCTCCCTGGTACATGTGGGCATGGCTGCCTGACCAGCTGGAACATGAGATCCACCGCCCCACATGCCAAGGGTTTACCGTTTAAGCAACAGGGGAAAGCTGAGAATGAGGCTCACCTTTAAAACACCGACTGAAACTAACCAAAACGGAGCCTCCGGGGCTTGTAATTACGGCCATATTACTGCCCCCGTCGTCTGGCAAACGCACCTGAACAACAAGGCTGTTTAGTCCAAAATAAAAAAAGCACACGGGCGACCCGAAGCTCCCCCCTCTCCACAGGGGAAACCCTGCATGGGGGAGGTACTAAAACGCCAAACGGCGCCTGAGTGTGGAGAACAAAACAAAATGCCGATACGGCACCTGGTCCAGGGCCACCAGCGGAGGCACAAACTCGAGGTCCACTTTTGCTAAGGTGCAGCCAAATGATTTGTTCAAATTCATCACAAGATCATACAGCACATACTATAGCTTCTGATCAGTGCAACGTCTAGTCAAGTGGTCTGTATCATTTTCATACCACCTATATACAGGTGCATACAGAAAAACACAGCGCTACCTAAGGGGCAGAAACATACAAACAGAAAGTGACAAGAGGAGGGTTTCATAGTACTTAAACTGCGAAAACCCAGGACAGTGTGAAACAGGGGGGATAGATATAAGGATTTATTTAAAAAGAGCAATCGGTATGTTAACATAAAGCAGCATAAAAAGGTGGAATATAGTGGAACTATATTTATTCAAAGCAGCCTCTTTGAAAGAGGCCCAGGGGAGCCGCGAATTGCCCATAATCTAAGTCACCTTCACAACGCGCAGAGACTCATGCCGAGGTACTATTATGCTCTGACGCCTGTACATCACTGCAGTTCAGGCCCGGGCACTCAGTCTCTTACCTCTGACAGCAGAACCCAAAACAAGTTGAGCTGAGAAAACTGTCGACAAAGTCAAAAATGATACGGCCCGAGGACAGAGTCTAAGGCAGCGGCCGAAGATCGGCGCATATAAAAGCTGTACGACCTAAAATACGTAGCACATGCTGCTGAGCAGGGAGAAAGAAAAATGGTGTGTCGTGCAGCCTCTAGATCCTGGGGCTCGACGGGGGAATATCAGGGAAGTTCTGATCTGCAAAACTCCCACCCCTCCTGGCTTCTAATGGGCACCAGGCGTGTCTGCTTCCTTAGAAGGAAATCAAAACCCCGAAAACTGAGCGGCCGCGGCCTCTCGCACTGCGCAGCACAGTCAGTGAGGTCGAGAGGAGCTTCTGAAGGCTCCGCTTTGAGATAAAGGAAGGGACCAGCAACTGAAAGCAGTTGAAAGAACCTTCACTTTATGTTCAAAACAAGCCAACCGAACAAAACAAAGGGTCTTGTTTTGGGGCAAGCAAGATGCAAAGGTTCGAGAAAGACACTGTGGCATTTAATTTGTGTGTGGTTAGATGAAACGGGGCTTGGATATAAAACAGCAATCAGCAAAAGCCCACTGAGACTGATACCTTTTTTTTTTTTAAAAAAGATAGTGACTGGTTGTATTACGTTAACAGGCTCCTTTCTACTGAGATGTTTCCCACAACAGCAGGAACCAAGGAGATGGGGCACAGGACTATGTCTTCATTTTAAGCAGCCATGTTTGGGCTCCTAATACTGCCCCAGCATGTCTTTAGCATGGAGAGGAAAAGCTATGCGTGGGCGACTTAGCAAAGGGGATACAGAGAACATTTAACCTGCTGTCTGTAAAATCAGCACGCACATTCGGACACGACATCACTCTCCCGTCAGCAAGTGAGAGTCCCAACAAAAAAATGCAAGAGCAGTCATAATAAAATGGACGATTTAATATTTTAAAGTATTAGCATTACTGCAGAGCAATCATCATAAACCAGATACAAAACAACCTTATCTCTCACTAGCACCTGCTAAGGTAACGCATTCAGCAGAGATAAGACCTCCATTCCCCAAACCACTGAAACTAACAAAACTAATACGTAATTTTATTATATAAGCTTAGAAACATTTACACTCAAAGTGGAGCTTTACTTCTGCCCCTTCATTCATTCATTCTCCATCCCTGTCTGTCCCTGTACACCTGCTGTGTCCCACTGAGTACAACCCCCTGAAATCTGCTGTGCCTGCATGACTGTATATATATATATATTTATATATACACACACATATGCAGTATATATGCTATTCCCTGTCTCCTGTTCGTTTCATTTCTCTCCCTCCATGCATGTCTGTATATATAAACATGTTGTCCCCTCTCTCGTGTCCTTCTTTAATTTCTGTCCCCGCATGTCCTCCTTGTGTATACCTCTCCGATGTCTGCTGTCTCTCCATGGTTGTATGCATATATATATATATATATATATATATATATATATATATATATATATATACACTGTATGTACACAGACACTCTCTCCCAGCTTGTGAATAATGTTGTACGATGTCCTCCCCGAGCCTTTCTGTGCGGATATGCATATGCTGTCCACGATCTCCTGTCCCTGTTTCATTTCTATCCCTCCACGTCCCCTTAATCACCCCCCTCCGCCGTCTGCCTTCCCTCCGCACCCCGGAGCGTCCCGTCACTACTAAGGCTTCGCCTCCCCGCAGCCACCGCGTTTCCCGCAGCTGTCATCCCGCTAAGCCGGACCGTGTCTCCCCCCCCCGAAAGCGTCCCGTTTACCGCACCACCCCCCATCCCCCGCCCAAGACCTGCCCCCCGCACCCTGGCACCCCTGGCGTCGCTAGACGAGGCCGCCGTCCGCTAGCCGGCGTCCGCCATCTTTCCGAGGACACAAGAACGGCGCCGCTGGGCGCAGACCACCGACACGCAGGCGCCGTACCGCCGCTCACCTCGGCCGCAGCTCCCCGCCCGGCTCTGTCCGACGCTCGTCTCCACAGGAGCGGCTGTCTCTACGTCGGCCGCCCGGAGCCGCGACTCTCTAACTGCGCGTCCGACCACGACCGCGCTCCTCATGCCACGGGCGGGCTGCGGAACAGACGCGCCCGCGCCCGTCCGCGTGCCCGTGCCCGACCGGCCGGCTCCCCGCGCGCGTCCCTGCACGAGCTCGGATCGCATTGCCTGCGCGACTAAAAATAATAGCAGGATGGGGGGTGAAATAGTCCGGATTGCGGGTTGTTTTGAGCGCCTTTTACCTTCAGAACATTTCTAAAGCACATGAGTTGAAGTTCAAGTTTAATTATTTAATGTTACCCGATTTCTTTCTTAGTCTTTGGGTGATGTCTTCTGCAAAATAACTTATATTATTCGTTGAAGCCGTTAGTTCCACCAAGCACAGCAATCCTACAGAAAATCCTGTCTTCAGGCTCCTTCTTAACTTGCAAAACTGTATAAATGGATTTATACCTCACAATAAATATGTATTTTTTATTTATTGCTACATATTATTATTTATTACTAAAAGCCGGACGGTTCAGTAAATAACTGAACTTTTAGTTTTGTGTTGGCGTATGTGTTTTTGAGGTGGAACTGAGTTTGCCAGTAATATTTAGAACAAGGTTTTTCAGCAATGATTACAGCTATTTCCAAAAATCAGACCTCAGTCTAATAGAATGTGGTTGACATCACATTGTATTAGACTGCTTAATTGTATGAATTTTCTGAAAATTATAGACATACTTTGATTATAATAGAATCATACATATAATCATGGGGGGGGGGGGCATTTTTATATAATATAAAATTCAGCAACTGTTGTGGTGTCAAAATAAAACGTGAAGGACTAATCTAATTTCTTTTTGACAAATACTGATAAATGTTTTGGTCATGAAAGTGTCCCTTGAATGCTCTCATTAACATTCTCAGAATAACTGAACTGATTCCATTCAGATTACCATCAGGAGAATCCGCTTCGAACAAAAACACCCTTGACTGTCCTCATGCCGCTCTCTGATTGAACAAAGAACTCATCTGATGTTGTTTTTGTTTTGCACTGTAGCCACCCCCCCCAAACCCCCCCCTAGAAAATGGGGATGTAATTCTCTATCTTGGATCGGTGCCGCTGTGCGATGCACTCCGCGATCCACATGATGTTCCTGCTCTCCTGCTCTTTCAGTTTCACGTAGGCGTAGAAGACCCCAAAGTGGAACTGGTCCAGGAAAGCCAGAGTGTTAAGTTTCACCTGGAAGATCAAGAAAGCAACTTGTGTCTTTCAGATTATCCTGCAGCTCGTGATCAAGAGTCTGACCCCTACAGTAAGTTACAGTCACGCTCCGTCAAAACATGCCACATAAATCCATAAATGCAACAAACTGACCTCGTGTTCAAAGAATCTGTCCTCCAGTGTTTTGTCGCCAGATCCCTGCATTGACCCTTCAAAGATCAGCTTGTATTCCTAATGGAAAAAGAGAGCATTGAAAGACAGTATATTCACTGCATGAATTTGATCCTCTCTGTTCCCAGCCAGCGTAGGTATGTCCTCTGGGCGGACTCGAAAGAAGATGCTGTTTCCCCAAAAATGTACTTTTCGAAAAGTTAGTTTTTGTGTCCTACTGTAATGGGGTCCCCCGTATTTCCTTTCTCTGCAGAGCTGCCAAACTAACAGCGTAAATAAATTAAAGGGACGTTCCACGTGACTGAAGCAAGTACAAGCTGCATACCTACACAGCTTTAGTGCTGGAGTATCCGAAAGCTATATGCTCAGTTCAGTAATTAACCTTCCCTTTAAGGCTTTGGCGTACATGGCTGCTCAGGGCCGCAGTCTCCTTGCAGCTAACCGCTAACGGCCCACCACAAACGAGTGTTTATCAGGCCGATCTGCTCATGACAGCTGCAGTTTGCTAGGCCGTCGTCCCTCAGGCCGTCGCATACTGTTTCCCTCCCCCGCAGTGCCCTCCGCGGTGGCCGGAGAGACTCACGGCGTAACAATCCGCCACCGCTTTGACCTGCTCGTTGTCCTCAGCTTCAGCCAGCAGGTGGAGCCCCTCCGGGTGCAGCCTGCCACAGCTGGGAAACAGCTGGCTCCTCTGGTCCCGAGTCAGGTCCGTGCCGAAGGAATTCACGGTGATGATGAAGGCACGGCGGTCGGCTTCAAACTGCCATACACACACACACACACGGGTCTTTGTATCACTGTCTTTGTCAGGATACGGTCTGAGGACAGAAACTTCTGGAAAAATTGACTTGGTGGGGATGAGCTTACTGAGTTATGTTAGATTTTGGGGGCTGAGAATCAAAATAAAGGCAGAAAAATAAACAGTGACAAATCGAAGCAAAAAAAAACATAAAGAGAGGACATCTGACAACAAAAAAGCCTGCAATCTCACCTCCAGGATGGGGCACATGATCTCCTCTGTAGATCCACCTTCTTCTTTGCAAAACTTGTGAAAGGATTCTATATAAGCCTAAAAGCATTTTATTTAGGGGTGAAAACCCTGTTATGCAAAACACCATCTGAATATATATAATTTAGTAAGGAATCAGTATAGCCAGGATTGGTGGCAGCATCCCACAAGCAGTTTTAAATGCCGTAAATATGCGAGACACGTGCTTTTATTCAATGCAAATTTTTTCAAATAATTAATTACACTAATGAAAATTCACTGGAATGTGAAATACAGCTCGTGCTCTCCTGCATGACCAGTGCTGTGGTTCGTGACCCAGGACGCCAACTCCACCTTCGACTTCATGGTGAAAACGTGTGTGTGTGAACTTTAAGCCAGGGAGCTTGGGGGGGGGGGTGTTGTGGGGCAGAGGTCAGAGGTCATTCTACTAATTCTACAAATTCTTTTTGAATCCCTGAACATTTCAGGATATAAGTGAATACAGTATGCATCTCAGGTGTAATGGTGATGGTTTAAACTGCGGAACCTCAAAATCAAACCCTGATGAAATGATTCCATCCAGCTCTGGTTTTGTTCCGGTTCCATACCTTGTACAATTTGTTCCTCAAGATCTCAGCATTCATTTCATCCAGGTCCATTTCAGACAGTGAGTCCTGGAAAAACTCAGCTGGTATTGGGGGAAAAACATAGAATACAGACTTGATCTTACCCAAGATCTCGTGCAAAAACCTCCTGAAACTGCACATAGCAGCTACAGTACTTAGACTTCTAGCCGCAATGCTGCAGAACATTAATCAGCAGGCTTTTTGGAAGTTCAGTTTCCCCAGCGGTGTTAGGACACCCCGTGGAACCGAAGGCTGTACAACATGCCAGTAGTAATGTCCATTGTTTCATACAAGCATCAAAGAATTCCAACCAACCTCTTCATTAATCAGATTTGTTTTGAGCCGAGGATGTATTTTTGTGAACAGATTATAAAATGTGTTACTTTAACCTCAGGTGATAGCACAGATTAATACTAATCAAAGTAACTTAATCAGGATTAAATTAAGACACACATTCATTTACCTACTTTTATGAGACTATGCACTTTTTAAACCCCACTTTTTATCCCCAAAACACCCATCTAATTTATCATGCAATTTATTTAAGGGACTAACTGTTATCATACAAAAAAAATAAATAGGAATCGAGGGACATTAAGGCAGTTATAATTAGAGCTGGGATTCAATCAACACCCCAGTTATGATGGGGTTTTTGGTTATTTATACAAACATATGTGTTATTAGAGTAGCCCAGGGGACTGCTGCACGACTGACTGTCCTATTCCTTGATGTTCAACTGTAGGGTATAATTGAGGGGATCTTGAACCGCTAACCTTCTGGTTCGAGGTCTGTAACCTTAAGCAGCATGCTATATACTCTGCTAACGAGACCAGCTTGGGCCAAACATCCCCGAGGGAGCAGAAAGCAGAAGCTGAGTGTTACCCAGGGGTGTGTCCACCAGGATGGCACTGTACAGCTCCACAGGGCTCTGGGCAATGCCTACCGCCCCCATCTGGTCGAACCTGCCCAGGGGGTGGCACCGTGGCAACAGCTCGGACACAGGTCGCTGCCGCAAGGTCCCGGTGAGAAGCAGGATCACGTTGTCGATCATGTAGCTGTAGCTGAAAGGGTGGTGGGTAAGGGAGGGGGGGCTGTGTCATTTATGATAGGAGAGCTTTTTTTTTGGGGTGGGAGGGCTGATGCCATAACTCCCATCAGCAGGAATTCACGTGAAATTCACATCACGCCGTAACGCTTGCGGGTGAACCGCTTCCATAAATGACTGAAGGACACGCTTGGCCGTGCACTCGTAAATATGTCTGACCGGTGGCACTGAGTTACAGCAGCACGGACGCGTGGGGGTCTCGGGGTGATGCTGGAAGGAAAACAGGGCCGTGTGGC